TGACCCTCTTCCTGAATCTCAGATAATCTGATTTTTTTCATGACAACCCTATGAATACCACTTTTGGATCAATGGCATTATAAACACTTTTTTATGAATGCAGAATACATCTTCACGTTTATCCCCTTATCCTATTCTTAGAGAATCATCAGATGGTATCTCGTTTTACATTGACACCATAGCCTTCATGTCAAATTCCGTCTTGAACCATCATTTGACAGTAAGACCAGTGTGGAATTCCTTATCACCTGACCTGCTGAAACCTTCTTTCCTATGAGGAAAGAAGACGGGTCACGTTCTGCTTCTCTTCTGGTGTTGCCCTCCTGCAGCATCAAAACAATTTTCTTCCAAGTTGCCATTCTGGAGATTCTATTACGTTTATCTTAACACAGACCAGAGCTGGTTTTGTCAAACTGACACCAGCAGCAAAGGCCTGGAGGAAGCCGGGTGCTATAGTTTCATTTTTCTTGAATCTCGTATTTGACTTCCTGGCAGTCTCTAATCTACAAAATCAAAATAAACCATAATAGAGCTCAATGAAGCAGGTCTAGTCATTCATTGCCTGTGGAGGTGCAGCCTTCGGGAACAGATCTCATCATCAGTACTGTGCTGGGAGCTCTTTGTTCCCACTTTGTATCCTCCTCCCGTAACCACCATCCCTCCCACCCACACTGACCCTCTTCCCCAGGCTTTGAGGACCTTCATTTCCGTCACCGAGACTGTGGAGATGGTATCCTGACCCTAAATAGAGTCAATTTAGACATGTAAGCTTTGAAAATTTTCAAGGAAAACAAAGTATTCTTGGGAATATTTGGTCTTTGTCCCAAGATAGATTTCCCTCACATCCTCTGCTTTCTTTCAACCTACACTGACTCTGGGGTGACCTTTGGACCCTGTTGGGATTCCAGAGAGTGCCATACTCTCCTAGGGCTACATATGATGTAGTTTGGAGGCCCTGAGTTTGTTCTGCTTATGAGATTTTAATTAGCAAAGCTAGTTGTTCCTTTTCTTACCATTTCTTCTATAATCTCTCTGGTGTGTCATTAAGGGCTTCTGTGTAGGATAGGGAATATCAATTAGAAGAACATCCTGTTTCACTTGCCTCATTACGTCGAGGGAATAATACTCAAAGTGTCACTCCAAATTATAAAAGCTAATATTGCTCGCTATCTATACTTTTTATCAATAAATCATGGGCTTGCTTCCTGCTGCTCTCATTCAGTGATTGTTCTGTGCCTTCTATCAGCCTGGAGCTTCTTAAGAGGAGGGACCCACCCATTTTCTGCTCCTCTGGTAGCTACCAAAGCACCTGTTCCCTAGTAGGGGATGTATGAGGTTAAATATTTGGGATCCGTGGTGTTCTAATCTCATTCCTCTTCTCAACTCTGCATAATTTCTATTGATTTAATACATTCCCATGGTCCTAACTGCCAAGATGTAGGATAATGATTTTTAAATGATCTTTAGTCCAGCCTGTGCTCTGGAACTCCATATCCATCTTACTTTGTTGTCTTCCAAACACGAAGGAAACAATATATCCAGCCCTGAACCCTCCCTGTGATTATTTCCTCTGATGATGAACCTTAGCATCTTTTTTATTCTTCTGCTCTTTTCTACACACGTGTACAAGATAGACCTTTATTGAGCACTGTGTAATTTGCAGTCCCCACCAAAGACATCAGCCATCGTGATCCTAAGCTCTATTGTCCCTAGCCAGAAAACACTGCAATCAGACACCATAAGGAGTATGGACAAACAGCCCATGCCAGAACACGGAATATAACCTGTTACTGATCATGGCAGTTCAAAGTCAGTTACCAACATCCAGTCCCTCTTCTATCCTATTTCCTGCAGATGCATAAATTTTAAGTAACCTTCTTTGATATATTCACACGTATTCCAAAAAAGGTTCATCAGTTTATATCTGGTCATTACCAAAGTTTCATTTTGTTTACCTTTCGTTGTCTCTCCCACTTTGTTTTAGGATGGTGGTGGTCCCTTTTACAATGTCAGCATTATTATTACTACTGCTTCTTCTTCAGCATGCTCTTTCTCGGTCCCCCAGTCCTGCTAATCTGATCCTTTCTCCTTACAAAATATCTCTTATATTTGGCCTTACACACTTAATATCATACCTAAAATATTTAACTGGGTTCTTTCTCTGTCTTCATTGTGAACTCAGCCAGGAAATATGAGCCTACAGTATTGCCAAAGGAGATTTTCTGAAAATTTAATCCCAGTATTATTATCATACAGTGTTATGTTAATTTCAGGTGTACAATACAGTGATTCAAGAATTCCATACATCACCCGGTTGTCATCACGACAAGTGTCCTCCTTCATCCCTGTCACCTGTTTAACTCATCCCCCCACCCACCTCCCCTCTGGTAACCATCAGTTTGTTCTCTATAGTTAAGAGTCTGTTTCTTGGCGTGTCTCTCTTTCCCCCCCTTTGCTCATTTGTTTTGTTTCTTAAATTCCACATACAAGTGAAATCATATGGTATCTTCTCTGACTGATTTGTTGCACTTGGCATTATACTCTCTAGCTCCGTCCATGTCATTGCAAATGGTAATATTTCATCATTTTTTATGGCTGAATAATATTCCTGAGTGTGCGTGTGTGTGTGTGTGTGTGTGTGTGTGTGTGTGTCCTCTTCTTTATCCATTCATAAATCAGTGGATATTTGGGTGGCTTCAATATCTTGGTTATTGTAAGTGATGCTGCTGTAAACATTGGGGTGTATGTATCCCTTTGAATTAGTGTTTTGGTGTTTTGGGGTAAATAGCCAGTAATGAGATTACTGGATTATAGAGCAGTTCTATTTTTCACTTTTTGAGGAACCTCTCTACTGTTTTCCACAGTGGCTGCACCAGTTTGGATTCCCACCAACAGTGTAAGAAGGTTCCTTTCTTTCTACATCATCCTCAACACCCGTTGTTTCCTGTGTTTTTTATTTTAGTCACTCCGACAGGTGTGAGGTGATAGCTCACTGTAGTTTTGACTTGTACTTCCCTGCTGATGAGTGATGTTGAGCATTTCTTCATGTGTCTCTTGGCCATCTGTATGTCTTCTTTGGAGAAACATCTGTTTATGTCTTCAGCCCATTTTTAATTGGATTATTTGGGGTTTTGATGTTGAATTATGTAAGTTTTTTTTATATATATTTTGGATACTAACTCTTTATCAGATATGTCATTTGCAAATATCTTCTCCCATTCCATAGGTTGTCTTTTAGTTCTGTTGATTGTTTCCTTTGCTGTGCAGAAAATAAGTTTTTTACTACTAACTATTCCAGAGATATATGCCATATGATAAAAGGACTCGTCTGAATTCAACATTTTTAAAAGACAGACGCTATCCTATTTTGTCTTTACCCAGCAACTTCTTGGAGAATACAAAATTCACATATTCAGCGGGGGGATATTTGGATCATAATTTAGTAAACATAAGGAAAGTCAATTACACGTGTAGGTATTGAAGGCATGATTTTGGCGTACAGAAAATCTTCCCCACCCTGGTCCCACCCAAATAGCTCACAAATGCCTTCTGCACTGTCTACAATTCCTTTCATTGGCTAGTGTTATGGACTCATCTTCAGGGGCATATTGGAGAAGGTTAATAGATGTAGGCACTAATGCCTGAAGGAAAGGCACATAGCCAAGTTGGCACTCCACGGAGGGCCTAGGTCAGGGCACGCAAGCTTGGATCTAAGTAGAGAGCATTTCTTTTCAGGACTAGCATGAGGGCTCAGTAAACCACATCATCTCCTTTATGACAAAGGCAGGCTCTAAAATTGCAAGAGGAAAGATGAGGTCCAATGACAAATAGCTCTCTCAAGACCCTTCTTAAATGTTCTTCCTAAAAAGTCAACCCTTGGGGCTCTCAGTGGTACAGATCATATATCTGATATGATTGAGAGATGACTGGGGTTTAAATGTATAGACATATTCTGAAGACCCAAAATAAAGCTTTCCAAGGCACCCCCAGATCAGTGATTCTTAGATAGGGACCAGGACTGGGGTGGGTAAAGAGCAGGGGGAAGCCACGTTCATGTCACCCCATCATCCTGAGATCACTACCTACAGTAGGAGGTGCAGTCTGTGGCAGTGAGATGTACGTATAAGGAAAATGAAGACTAGGGAACATGGTTGAGAACTGTGATCTAGATTAAGGTCCATTTGCTTCATTTACAGACAAGGAATCAGGTCCCCAAGTATTACAGAATTGGCTTTTCCTATCACACCAGGCATTCCTCCAGATCTCATTTTATACCCCAAGACTTCTACATTACGAAGTGCTCTTTGGCATACAAGGCCCATCTTTATTTTCAAAAGTAACAAAGAGTCTTCTGATGATTTCATGACAGACCCACTGTGTGATGAGAAAAGAAAAGAAATGTGAACAACGAACAATAAGTAGCAGTACTTCTCAAAGTGATGCTGATATTATGAACAAATATTGAGCAGTTAAATTGTACTGGCATGATTTAATGCAGTTTGGTAATATTGTCTTAAATAGCATACATTTCTTTAAGCCATGGGATTCAGAGTTGACCCTCAGTGCTTGTCATTTTTCTAGGAACAAGATGAGATCATTCAATGTAATTTTGGGAGAAAGTACTGCATATTTTATAGAAAGCTTAGGAATTAATTCAGAAACGGCTCTTACCACGGCTGGCATTCTCCACATATTCCCAGTTCTTTCTAATCTCTTCTTCTCCGGGTAATTTATACATGGGTCAAGAGGTCAGCCTGAGCTATGGCTGGTTCAATATTTGTCTTATGTAAAATGACATTGAGCATTTGTGCTTTCCCGAATAGGGCCTGTGTTCCCTTCGGAGACTCATGCAAAGTGCGTCATCGTGTGAAGGACCTCGCTGTTGGATTTCACTCGACTACTTCTCATTTACATTCCACACTGACAAAATCATGGGCAAAAACTGTCACTCTCTGAGGGTAGAAACTGCCATGCTTCACAAAGGCAAGAAGTAATTTTCCTGTAATCACAAGATGACTCAGGTTAGTAGCTTTTAGCTCTTACTATAATTCAAATAACAGGAGGGCACTGGGGCACTGGGCAAACCTCATTAGTCCCTATCTCGATAATTTTAAATTTATGATAATGTGATATAAAGTAAGTTGGAGTTTATTTTTGTACGAGGTAGTAAAAGAATTTAAAAATAGTTACATAGGTGAGGTCAAATTACAAGAAAGCATGTAGTATTTTTTAGATGCGAAATGCTTTTCTAATAAAGAGCATTGCTAAGTGATAGCTATTATCCTATAAAAGTTTGCAGTATTATCTGTACTTGAAAGTAATATGTAGATGTTAAATTTGAAGGATCATGGATTAAAAGGTAAAAAAAAACAAAAAACCTGTATCTTGTAGTTAAGTCTTTGGACTGTCCTGACCAACTTGTATTGTTATGTTAGACTTGCAATTGGAGGGGCGCCTGGGTGGCTCAGTGGGTTAAGCCTCTGCCTTCAGCTCTGGTCATGATCTCAGGGTCCTGGGATCGAGCCCCGTATTGGGGGTCTCTGCTTAGCAGGGAGCCTGCTTCCCCCTCTCTCTCTGCCTGGCCTCTCTGCCTACTTGTGATCTCTCTCTCTCTCTTTCTCTCTGTCAAATAAATAAATAAAATCTTTTTAAAAAAAGAGAAATCAGAATCTCCTAGGGTATTAAGCAGAAAAACAAGGTGATGTAGCTCAGTCTGGCAAACTAATTGGGGGGAAAAAAGAATTGCAATTGGAATAGGTCTTTACAATTTAGAGTTTATGTTTGCTTTTTTAATATTGCATCCTCTGTGGCATTTGTAATGGGAGAACAATCTATATGTTTACATTTGCTTTTAGTTACACAAATGTGACTTCTGCCTGCCTGGGGTACAAGTGTCAAACAGCCTCTGCCAGGGCAGGAAATCATGAAATAGAAAAGACAATTGGGGAAAAGCTTGGTCCTTGCCCTGTTTCCTGTTGGTCCCAGCAGGGCATTTATGATTTCTTTTTTTTTTTTTTTTTTTTTTTTTTTAAAGATTTATTTATTTATTTGACAGGCAGAGATCACAAGCAGGCAGAGAGGCAGCCAGAGAGAGAGGAAGGGAAGCAGGCTCCCCGCTGAGCAGAGAGCCCGATGCGGGGCTCGATCCCAGGACCCTGGGATCATGACCTGAGCCGAAGGCAGAGGCCTTAACCCACTGAGCCACCCAGGTGCCCCGCATTTATGATTTCTGACCCCGTACTTGAGGTCCAGTTTGTCTGGAGTAAAGTACCGTTGTCTTGCAGAAGGAACTAAGCAACAGGCTCACGGATGCGTTGGTTCTGCAGGTAGATGTTGAGTGACTGCTCTGTTCTGCATGCTCCAAAGACAAAAAAAGGTCCTAGTCCCGTTCCTGCCCTCCAGGAGCTTCTAATCTCATTAGGCACATATACAAAGTTGAGAATTCAAGATGGGATCAGGAGAAATGTCCGAAGAGTGAGAAGAGTGATATAGATCATAAATACGCAGAGCACAGGAAGAGTGGGGAAGGCTGGTAAATATCTATGGCTCTGCCTCAAGTCTTTATGAAGGAGGAAAAAGTCTGCTAGACTTCAAAGGCCAGGTAAGATTTTGGAAGGGGAAGGTGATAGAGCATTTCAGATGACAAAGGACAGTCTGCTGGCTTTGGCAAAGACCCAAATGAGGAGCTGTGGGACACCCACTGACAGAAGGGTGAGAAGGGGTCTTCAGGTGGAAGCTGAAAGCTTGAGATGCGGTGGCTCTAGGAGAGAAGACTGGGAAGACAGACTGGGACCAGGTTGTGGAAGGCTCTGAATGCCAGACCGGGGAGTACAAGCTTCTTCCCACAGAGAACAGAGACCCCTGAGAGGCTTTCAACACTATTAAATGGCTTTTATCCATTATCTGGAAAATTATCCAGGATTGGCATGAAGCAGAGATTCTAGATTGCTTTTCTTGAGCTCATGGAGGGAAAATGACAAACTGCATCATCAAGCCGGGAGTAACACACATACTTTGTAGTCCCTGCTGTCCCCTTTTACCACAGGGACATACAGGGTCTCCAGCAAGCGATGATTAATGGAGGAAGGATGGTGCAAACTCCCAGCCTTAAGGATATATAAGATGTGGGGAGTGGGAGGAAGGCAAAGGGGTGGGGCAGAAAGAGTGGAACCTGTAACAACAGCTCAGATACTAGGTTGTGGCTGTACAAAAAGAAAGGCAGAGAGACAACAAAGATGGCAGTGGTAGTATCACAACTCTGACCTCTAGGCTAGCGCTGGTTCCCAGAAGACGCTGCCATCCCAGCATGTTCTAGTGCCGCCCAGCTCTAGCAAGGGTCTTTTTGTCTATTTGTGGCAAGTCCTATCGGGAACTCTGGTGGCCACAACGCGATTCGTCCACTGTGACACCTCCTGAGGTGGGTGCCATGGTTGCAAAGACCCATCCAAGTCTGTGATAAAGTCTGTTGGCAGCAAACATCAAAACAAACTCCTCCTCAGGCAAGAAGGAGGGATTTGTTGGCAATGTACTAAGGAGCTGACAGAAGAAAGAGCTACAAACCAAACCCCAGGAAAGGCAACAATTGGAAGAAACCTGGGCATCTTTGGCTTGTGCCATCAGGAACTGGGTTCCAACTACCTCTTACCAGTTTCTCAGGGGAGAGAGAATGACTGTCCCAGATTGGATTATATGTCTACCCCTTCGCCTTCGCCTATGTGACCAGCAGCCCCGGCATCATTGGAGTCTGATATGGGCAGTTCCTCAAAGGAAGAGAGGATAAGCAGAAATTTCTAAAAAGTATTTAAGCTCTGAGGCGCCTGGATGGCTCAGTCAGTTAAGCATTTGACTCATGATTTCAGCTCAGGTCATGATATCAGGGACCTGGGATCAAGCCCCGTGTGGGGCTCCATGCTGAATGGGGAGTCTGCCTGGGGTTCTTGCTCTCCCTCTCCTTCCCCTGCCCCTCCACAAGCACATGTTCTTACTCAAATAAATAAATAAATAAATAAAATTTAATTTCTAAAATGTCTGGGGATACAAATAATGGTCATAAGTGTGTGGCCTCAGGCTTGGGGACAGATCAGCTATTTCACAGAATCTCAGATTTACAAAATGATTTTTTCACAACTACCTCTGCTCTTTCAAACTAAAGTCTTACTGTTTATAAACAAGGAAACAAACAGATACTGGCCAGAAATTATCCTCAGCAGTAACTTCATGCCTTCATGTTTTGGGTTCCACACATTAGTGTCCTTTTTCCTTCCCTCTCTTCTTCCCGTCCTTTCATAGCAGTCAGACCTTCAAACCCATCGGGTGACCTGAAGTGATTTGATTTCTGTGCCTTAGCTATGATAGAACTTTTAAGTTTGAGAGAGAGAGAGAGCACACAAGCAGGAAGGGCAGAGAGAGAATCTCAAACAGACTCTGCACTTTGCGTAGGAAAGTGAAGCTCGATCTCACAACCCTGAGATCACAGCCTGAGCCAAAACCAAGACTCAGGACATTTAACCGAAAGCACCATCCAGACGCCCCCAAAGGGCTTTAAGAAACACAGTGGCTTGCCCAGTTTGGGTCAGTCTTTGAATAGATACTTCTTACAAGTGCAATTAAATTGAGTTCTAAGGTGACGATCCCAATTTCTCATGCATTCATTTGGGGATGTGTTATTCTACATGCAAGCTGGGCTCATAGACAGTTTCCTTTTTAACAATTTCCATTTACTCTGGAAATGAACATAATATATTAAATTCCAGCATACTACAATTCTAGACTTCTAGAGCAAGAGTTTTTAAGCTTCTTTGGTGTGGTTTTGAATTTTAATTTCTTAATACAAAGCTTCAAGCAAATTTCAGTTACAAGTTGTCAAATCTGATTTCTGTTAATGATTGATTAATGGCAATGCATTCTACAAACAGTGAATATTAGAATCTAAATATGTAGTTCTGAGCCCTAATTGGAATAGATATAAATTAATAAAAACATACAACTATGTATTTTATCTCTTCTTTATTTTTATCCCTATAAAGTTGGGACTCTTAGATCTTTATCTACTTTTCCCACTTCCCATGTCTTGCTTCTTTTGCATTAACATATAGGAAGCACATGATAATCATTCAAAATATATTTGTTGTCCATTTTTTTCTCCTTCTTTTCTCTTCCCCTAGTGCCTTTCCCCTTCCTTATCATTCCATTTTGCTCCCTTAAAAAGAAAAACTACAGGGGTACCTGGGTGGGTCAGCCAATTAAGCATCTGACTCCTGATTTCAGCTCAGGTCATGATCGCAGGGTCATGGGATCAAGCCCTGCATCAGGCTCCATGCTCAGTAGATAGTCTGCTTGTCCCTCTCCCTCTGTCCCTCCCCCTGCTCTCTCCCTCTCGAATAAATAAATAGAATCTTAAAGAAAAAGAAAAGAAACTGTTTTGGCACATATTTTTGTCTCCTTCTTTGTTTTTTGGGGAACACTGTTTTTCTATTACAACTGTGTTGTTCAGGAGATTAACCGTCCACCTATCGGTTAGGCTCCAAATTGCTGTTTCCTTGCTTCTAAGGCTTATAAATATTGTGAAATCATTCTGAAGGATTTTATTCTCCCATAAGCTCGGCAGGTTTTTCCAGTAAGTGCCCTTGCAGATAGCCACATCGACAGCTAGCTAAACCTTCCAGCTGATCAACATAGGAGTAATAAATCAGGAAATTTCACTTTGTCCAAACATGTCCAACAAGGCACTGACATATCCCAGAATTGTCTTAATGGGTAACAGTAGAACAACAAAGTAATTAGAGAATGATTGTAAGTAAGAAAAGGACCCACATGCTGTTATAAGCTAAGGCTAAGGCAGCATCTTTCCTGGATTCTTTACATAATTTCTGTCCCCATCCATTTACTGAGATCCACAATCCTCTTCTATCATTGTAGCTGTGCTTCTTGGAGGCCAGAGCTAACAAAATTCATCCTTAATTTCACGTTGAATATTTAGGTAAAGCTATTCAGTTATCTAGTAAGCACATGAATCTAGGGT